GAGAAACATCAATGATGAGAAAGAATAATTGACCGGCTGCCTCCTGCACGTCCCCCTACTGGGGATCAAGCCTGCGACCTAGGTATGTGCCCTTGACCAGAATCAAACCTGGGACCCTTCAGTCCGCAGGCTGATGCTCTATCCACTGAGCAAAACCAGCCAGGGTTGTAACACCCATTTTTAAAGCTGAGATGCAGAGCCAGGGCAGTGCAGCATGTGACCAATCAGAAGTGACACAGGGCCTAGAACATAATCTGCCATCCTTTGCCCCCTCTTGGCCCCAGCTACCACCCTCCCACCACCCCATCCCCCTATCCCTGTCCCCAGCCACCCCTTGCACAAGGCCCTGATGCAACCCTCTACCGGCCCTGGGTGCCCCTCTTGTGAGCAGCTCTGGGAAAAAGATTTTGCAAGAGCTGGGGCAGGAAGCTCTAGCCAGGGCGGTCCTGGGAAGATAAGGGCGCCCCCGCCCCTTGCGCGCCTCCAGGCCTTCTGGTTTCCTCTCTTCCCTTCCTTTCCCTTTCCGGGAAAGAGGCGCCCAGACCTGGCCTGCCTGTGACTCACCACCTTTCCCTCTGGCAGCCAAACTGGGGTCCTAGGCCCTCCTGTTCCTGGACGGGCCTGTGTGTGACAGTGGGCAGCAGGGACCTCTCTCACCAGCAGTTTCTGGAACTCAGTAAGAATAGCTGGCATGAAGACAGGTTCTACCTCTGAGCCTTAGTCTCAGGAGGCAAAGTGTGGGGTGCTCCTGGAGTACCCCCCCCCCCCCCCTTAAACGCCAGCGGTTTCTGGAACTCAGTAAGAATAGCTGGCGTGAAGACAGGTTCTACCTCTGAGCCTTAGTCTCAGCAGGCAAAGTGTGGGGTGCTCCTGGAGTACCCCCCATTAAGCCAATTTTGAGGTCTGGGTGACTCAGATTGGCAAGTGTACGGTTGGGGCTTGTGTGTGAAACACCCTTGACCCCTATGGGGGGGTAGGCATCCAGAAGTCAGGGCCTGGTGGTCTCTCAGCCTCTAGGGCAGCGGTTCTCAACCTGTGGGTCGCGAGCCCTTTGGCGGTCGAACGACCCTTTCACAGGGGTCGCCTAAGACCATCCTGCATATCAGATATTTACATTACGATTCCTAACAGTAGCAACATTACAGTTATGAAGTAGCAATGAAAATAATTTTATGGTTGGGGTCACAACATGAGGAACTGTATTAAAGGGCCAGAAGGTTGAGAACCACTGGTCTAGGGCAAAAGCAGACATGTCCACAGTTTGGTTGGTCTCTACCTGGTTCACGACCTGTGCCCAGCTGTGTGACCCGTCCTCCCAGACCGGGTCCTCTTGGAGACTGAGAGCCTGGGCCAGTCCCATCTCTTAAAGCTCTAGTAAGCTTTTTGAAATTGAGAAATGCCAAAACCAACCGTGGATTGCAAAAATTGTGATAGGTATTGTGTCTTGGCTTTCCCAGTTGATGCATTTAAAACAAAAAAATCTATAATGAACCGGTATGATTTCAATTGGGAAGTAAGATGGAAAAGGCCACTTCGGATGTCCTGAGGGAACGTGAAGCCTCTCACAAACGAGCCTGGTGGGGACCAGCCTGGTTGCTGGAAAAGTCCTCCAAGTCAGTGAGGGCCCCAGCATGGCCTCGGGTGGGTCACTTCACCTCTCTGCTGTCTCCCTTTTTTCATCTGAAAGTAGGAACAACAATGGGTCCACACACCTGACAGGGCTGATAAGACAAAACCCCCTTAGAAAAGACTCAAACCATTTCACACCAGCATCTACCAAGTGTCCATCCCAGAGCTGAACTTCGACTACACGGCGGTTCAATGGGTCCTGGAGGCTGAGGTGAGGGTCTGAGCCCATTTTCCAGGTGAGATAGTGGAGGCTCATACAGGTGAAGTGAGGAGCATTCAGGGATCATCAGAGGCGGTGGTCTACCGGCCTTGCTACTGAACTGCTAGCCTATTATGATCGGTGTTGCTGCTGTGGTTCCCGTGATTAAAGGGCGTATATAATAACACTGCCCCCACACAGCTGTGAGGATTAAATAAATCAATTTTTAAAAAGAGCTTAGTCCTAGTTGGGTTGGCTCAGTGTATAAAGCGTCAGCTGCAGACAGAAGGGTCCGGGTTCGATTCCAGTCAAGGGCACATGCCCGGTTTCGGGCTCCATCCCCAGGAGGGGCCTGTAGGAGGCAGCCATGCTGTGTGTGTGTCTCTCTCTCTCTCTCTCCCTCTCCCTTCCTCTCTGAAATCAATAAAAAAATATATTTTGTAAAAAGGCCTTAGTATATAGTACCTGGCACATCTTAAGTGCTCTGTGTTTGTTAAAACAAAAAAAGAAAAAACTTCAGGTCTTGGGCCCACTGCCCTAGAGGCAAAGTCCAATGTTCAAGAAACTCTGTCTCCGCGTTTCTTTGCGGCCACCTCCCGCTCCTCGCCCATCAGGAGGGATTAAGGAGTTAATGATTTCCCAAGCAGGGGCTGAGAGGAGTATTCTCTCTCTCTCTCTCTCTCTCTCTCTCTCTCTCTCT